GTCCTCCGGAACTGGTCTTCGAAACTAGTCTGTCGGATCTCGTCTGTAGCCACTGGTCTGTCGAGACTGGTTATGCTATGCCGAAACTGGTTATTGTCTGTCGAAACTGGTCCGTCGGATATGGTCTGCTGAGACTGTTTATGGTCTCTCCAAATTAGTCCGTTGAAACTAGTCCATCGAAACTAGTCCGTCGAAACTGGTCCGCTGAAACTGGTCTGCCGGAATTGGTTCACCGGAACTAGTCTGCCGGAATTGTAGAGAGATTTGTTTGTTGTTGAAGAATGAAAGAAGAAGAGATAGAAAAGAAAAAAAAAAGAAAGAAGAAGAGAAAAAAAGAGATAGAGAAAAATAAAAGAAAATAGAGAAAGTTTGAGTAGAGGATAAAATTGTCATTTGCATGAGTTAAAAGTGGGTCCTATGGCATTTTAAAGAAGATTGAATTGAAAGTGGCATTTCATATAAGAAATGACACTGTTCATGGCATAGGATATAATTTTCTCTTGACAAAATAGTGGTCAGGGTCTGGATTTGTAATTAAACGAAATTCTATTTCGGTTTGGGTTGAAAAAATAGTGGTTAGGGTTTAGATTTTGTAATTAGAAGAAATTATATTTCGGCTTGGGTTGATGAATTAGTGGTTAGGGTTTTGATTTTGTAATGAAACAAAATTATTTTTTTAGTTTGGGTTTAGAAAAGAGTGGTTAAGGTTTGTTTTATTTTTGATTTATCTTTTAAATATAATATGCCATGGCATATTGTTTTATTTTTATTGGCTAATCAATATGATGTGACCAAAATTGATTCATCCCTAGGGGTGAACCAAATTAGTGCTCTTTATTATATTGGAAAAATGTAAAAAAAATCATGAACTTTCAAATTGTGGACGTTTAAATGTACAACTTCCTAAATATCATTTAAATACCAAAAGTTATCGTTAATTTTAGTAGTAAATAGGCAACTTTTGTTATATATTATAAGAAGTTTAAATATTTTAAATTTGATCAAAAATTTCAAATATTATAAACATTTGAATTTTATACGAAGTTAAACTGTTATAAATATTTTAATTCTTTAAAAATTTAAACTTTATAGAACGTTTGAAATATTAATAATTTATTTAAAACTTTACGAAATTTTAAATGTAATAAATTTTAAACTTTAAAGAAGCGAAAATCTTATATTAAATGGTTACAATCTTAATAAATAGAGAATTTTTGAGAAATGCCCTTTTTGGTGTATCCTTTTTAAAAATACCCCCTTTTTCTATCCATTTATTTTTTTAAATCCCTTTTTAGATATGAAAAATTATAGACTTATATAGTTTATAAGGTACATCTAGATCATCATTACTACTCGGAGACTCAACCCAAATATTAATAAAGTTATAAGAAGTTGTAAACGGCATTTATAAGGTTTTTATAAGATTTTTAAAAGGTTTACAAAAATTTTATAAGGTTTTTAAATGATATTTAAAAGGTATTTATATAGTATTTATATAGTATTTATGAAATATATATAAATTTACACACATATAAATATAATATGTGTCTATACATATAAGCTTACAGATATTTTTTGATAAATTTCAAATTTGTAATGATTTTTTGAATGAATTTGAAAGACGGGTATTTTTAAAAAGTAATATTGGAAAGGGGTATTTTTGAAATTCCCCCTAATAAATACTAGATAATTAAACAAAGTTTAGATATGCTATGTTACTTACAATTATTCTCACAGTAAGTTATAAAGATCATAATTTATTCTATCATATAAAACATTACAAATAATTCATCGTTTGCAATAAATATTTTAAAATATTTATTTGCAAAGACCAAATTAGAGTATTTGTAAGTTTATTATTGTATAAAAATTATGCATTGTAAATATTTATATTCCGATCCGTTACTTTTTCAAAAAAAATTTTTGAACATTACATAAATATATTGTATATAAATTTAAGTTTGAATTTTTGACCGTTAAAATTTTTATTTATAAATAGAACAATTTACAATCGTTTTCAAAAATTCAAATCATGGCATATGCAGAAAAAATCTACATTTTTATTAGTATATGAATGAGATTATGAGTTATTTGTTTTACAAAAATATAACCATATAAAGATGAAAGGTGAAGTATAATAATTAATAAGAAAATTAATATGATAAGTTAGATATCAAATCTTCTATCTTAATTTTGATTGGTCATTGATTTAATATAATAATAATAATAATAATAATAATAATAATAATAATAATAATAATAATAGTAATAATAATAATAATAATAATATTAATAATAATAATAATAATAATAATATAATAATAATAATAATAATAATAATGTATTTTCATTTTAATAATTTAACTTAATTAGTTTTTTCACATTTTTATCCTCAATGATTATTATTAATTCATTCTTTAAAACCTATTTTTGTAATGATATTTGAATGTAATTACATACTATTGGTGAGGTCTTTTTAATAAAAGGAGATTATGCTAACTCAGTCTAATACTTATAATACAAAACAATATATTAAAAGTTAACATGATATAAATGAAGAAAAAAGTTTGTTTCTTGGTGTACCGAGAGGCGAGAGTTCAAATATCACGGGAAGGGCCCCTTCCGAAGGGATTACTTTTTCTCTCTTCTCCTTAAGCCACATCATCTTCCACCTCATGTTACTATTTAATTTTGAAAATTAATTATACTATTTTATCATTTAATTTTAATATTTAAACCTATGTAAATAAGTTTTTCCAAAATGAATATGAAAGTTATTTTCTTATTTTATACATTATAAAACTAAAAAAGATAATTGATTAAGAGTTAAAAAAATTATTAATTATCGATTATACTTACAAATATATAAATAATAGATTATAGTTTTACTGAATGTTTAAAATATATATATGATTATATTTACACAATGTAAACGTAAATATAATGGGATTTAACAGGAATAAAACAAAAAGTAAGAAAATTTGAGAATATAAATCTATCTAATTTATGTCTCAAAAAATTTTCTAACATAAGTGAGATAGGTCGGACCGAAACATGAATTCTTATTTTTTATAAACATATAAAAAGGTAAAAATAAAAATAATATTTCTGTAAAAGTTTCCAATATGAATTTAACTATTTGTTTCCAATACAACACATATGTTAAACTAATTAATAAAATAAAAAATTAACTATATTTCATAAAAATGAAAATTAAAATAAAACATTATTAAATGAAATAAACTAAATATAAAGTAAATTATACTAATATGTTAAATTTAAAAATTGTTCCATATGAAAAACAAAAAAAATATATAAAAAATAGAATCAGAAAAATATATAATAGTATATAAATGATCATTACGAGATATAAAGTACGACAAATCCAAAACAAAGGAAAACGTTAAACAAAAATAATAAATTATGACGATATATAAAGAGATAATGTAAAAAATTAAAAATACAACAATCCGCCCGAAACCCACAAATCATGTTCAAATTTCATGCCAACATATAAAAGGGCCCAAAATATTAACATCTAGATCCATATTTGGTAAAAACCCTAATAGCACACGTTTCTAAATGATTCTCAACCGCACTTCCATTTACGTTCACACTTCGACTTATACTATACACACTTAACTAGGTCTGGACCCGCGCTACAGCGCGGGGGAAAATTACCGGGTTTTTAGTCCTTTGTACGTTGCGAGATAATTTTATTTGTGTTTGCTTTACTTTATTTTGATTAGTAATTAAATTTTATCATTTTTAGATTGTATGTGTTGGTTTCGAATATGTTCAAAATTATTTAAATTCTATGATTTTAGTTGGATTGTTAATTTTAGAACAATATGTGACGTATATACATGTATAAATATTATACAATGAAAAAAAAAAATTATACAATGAATCATTTTTAAAATTTAGGGATTGACCCGCGGTACACCGCATAATCATAAATACATGATTTTAACTTGGACCTTTCATGCAGTTTTGTAAAGTTGCAAATCTCTAGAATAAACAAATAAAGAGCCAATGCTTTCTTATTTCTTATCGTGTTTAAATGTAAAATCTGTGTTGATGTTACAATTTTCTGGTAGCAAAAACTTATTTATATAGATCATATTTTCTTAGGGTTAAATTGAAAAATAATTAGTTTTATAATCAAGCCAGCAATTCGAAACTATTGCCAAATAAATATTAAAGATGGTCATAGAGAAAAAAAAATAGATATTAAAGATGGTTGAAAATGAAATATCCCGTAACTGATGTGAAGATCATAGTTAATGTAGGGGAAAACTATACATCCAAATATCAATATAGGATATTTAAGGAAGATTTTGTTTTGAAATATTATGGATAATTTGATAATGATTATTTTATATTTAATTTATATTTCTGATTTTTAGGTTAATTTGTTAAACCAATATACAAAATCATACATTAATGTATTTTTCCTTAAACAAATTAAGATTAATGTACTTTCCCAAACCGATATTGATGGTTTAATTTGGTAATTTTCGAAATAATATATATGGAAACTGGTATTTAATATCCTTAAATTTTTAGTAAGATCCAACTGAAAAATTCCGGGTTAATTTTTTTTTTAAAACCCGACCCAAGAAGCATTTGTACTTCTCTTTTACTATAGTAGAGATTTCTCAACGACTAATGAAGCTAAAACTCAATAGATTTTCTATACAAACACAATTTAAGTTTTAAAAAAGTAAAGTATGATATAGTGAAAAAAATAAGTAGAAAATAAAATATGAACCAATTACTCATAAACAACATAATAAACTCCCGCGCGTAGCGCGGGCAACCAACTAGTATTCTATAAAAAGATAAATTGTTACACAGTATACCACCAAAATATAATTATACAATCTTAAACCCTAAAGAAAGCAAACAAATTACCAAACAAACACAATGTTAAAAAATTAATTTTTTTAGTTACAAATAACTTATCCCACGGGTTAAAATTTAGTTACACAAGAAAATGACTACTACACATTTTCAAATACAATTTAATTGGGCTGATAAGCAAACAGTAATGTTATTATTTGTTTTTCTTCCAACAAGTTAGTTCAGAAGGGATTTGTTCTTCTTTACAACTTAAAACAGCATTAGCCATAAGTTTCCCAAGCCAAGCATGATAGAGTAGTCCCCTTGATCCAAGCCCTGCAAATACCCAGAATTTGCTAGACTCACCTGCTGCACCTATGAGCTTATTTACACATCCCAAGAGTGGCAGTGACCCATGGCTTGTGACAGGCGGCATTGCTCTCAACCCCGCCCTTGCTCCCGCAAATCTCCAATTCTCTATGTCTGGATAAACTGCACTCGCCTTCGGAAGAAGCTCGGCGAGAGCTCTTGAAGCTTCCTCTGCTGTAACATCCGATGAATAATTTCTTGATTGCCATTCCCATGTGGATCCCATGTGTAGATTACGAGATCCCTGAACTGCGAGCCATGCATCTGACAAGATTGAAGGTCCACCATCAGGGTAACCCCTGCAGTAGAATTTTTTTTTAACTAAACCAACCAATAGGCTAGACGTAGCAATGCAAGTACAGTTATGGTGTGCACAAGATCTCTATATCTTTAGAGGTATTGAGCAGAGAGAAGAAGTACCTAGCACTCTCGGGTAACTGCAAATGAGTAATGACACCTCGGCATGTCCTTAAAGGGAGCTTTCCAGTAAGTCCTGTAAGAAAGTCTACCTTGGATCCAAGACATATTACAACTGCATCATATTCTCCTACATACAACAACACAAAAGCCGTTCATACTAATTTTCTGACCATGTGTTGATGAGAACCAAAGACAAAATGTATGGCTACTCTACTCTTGGATTGTTAATAGCTATCTAAATTGTGTTCATAGACTCATATAATAGCAAGAGTTAACCCAAATTATACAAATATAGTTCAAGTTATAAGAGAAAATGATAAGAAACCTGAGAAAATCATTCATGTTAATGCCTTCAGACCAGAATTATCTAGAAATAAGTTTATCACATCAGTTTAGAGTCCACGAAACTGATATTTTCTGCCTGTGAAACTTGATAAAAAAAATAACAACCTATGTTTTAAAGATGTTTCCTTAAAGCTTATGCGAGTGCAAGAGTTAACCTAAAATATAAGAAAATATTTCTAATTGTTAGAGAAAATGATAAGAAACCTGAGAAAATCATTCACCTTCAAGTTCAAGCACATCATCTATAGATTTCTTCACCAAGGTTACGTTTTTCCTACCAAGTGATGTGCTTGCTGAGTTCTGGCATGCAAGAAAGAGTGCCTACAAAAGGGAGAAAAACTCTGTAAGAAAAATGCAAAAGCTTGGTGCTAACAGATAAAATTCAAAATGTGTTGTTGTATGTCTCTTAAACCTGGAGATATAGCTGCGGATTAACATTCATCGCGCCTGGAAAAGAGAAGGCGCAGTTCAAAGGCAGGCATAGATTGGGGACAAGATTTTGTGCAGCATCTCTGTCAATAGTCTCTACTAAGCAACTAGCAAGGCAGTTTCGAGCATTCTAATCGAATAAGTAATAAACATGTAAAACTACGTGTTTAGTTAAATATCTACTTAGGTATCCAATAAGTCAAGTTCAAACTTACATCACTCATCAAATCTAAAGTCTTGGCATTTGTTGCTGGTCTCAAGATTCCCCTGAAGCAAGAACAACTTCATCAAACCTAAGTTTTTACTCAACATTTAAACCATATCATCCTTTATAGAGCAGGAAAAAGTTAGTGTTATTGAGAGTGTGTACCTTCTTCTAACCATAAAATTTCCGAAATACTCGTTATAGTCTCCCTTCTCCGCAGATGGGTAACCAGAAGAAGCCGCTGTCTCGGCAACATTTAAGAGCTCTAAACACTCTCTCCAACACTCAGCACCATGCCAAAGTAGCTTACCTGCCAAAGTAAAAACCTCTATGAAACTAAACTTTGAAACAATACAATCACAAAAAGGGGGAAAGTTTATCTACCTTTAGGAGAATAAGGGTGGAGGAGCCCTCCAGAGACTCCAGAAGCTCCACCTCCTATGCCAGTTTCATCATATATATCGACACTTATTCTCAGCTCCTTTGGACACTCCTGCAAAAATAAAATTGTTAGTTAACTCGCAAACATGTTAAATCCTGAAGCAGATTTGTCTCAAGACAATCACAAAATGAAATTGAGATTCAGACAGTAACCTTAAGCAGGTGCCAGGCAACAGAGATTCCAGCAAAACCAGCACCAAGCACGGCGTATCTTTGATTGAATAACAAAATAAACCCTAAAAATTACAATGATTAAGTAGAGAAAGGTGTGAGGAAAAGAGCAGAGCTAACCTGAGAGGAGGACGGTTGGGAATAGAGAGAGACGCCGAAGAAGAAGAAGAAGAAGAAGAAGAAGAGGTGAAGCAACGGGGAAACTCAGAGAAGCGTGGTCGGTCTGAGTGAGAGAAAGGGTGAAAACCAGCATTGGTCATCATGTCTTACACGACAATGCCTTTGGTACTTTCAAGCTAGGACTGCGAGTTCTGTTCAAACGATTAGGTTCGGTTTGGATAGTCAGTTTGTTTGGTAATTTAGTACCAAAATCCAAAGGCATGGCCGTTTTATTTCACCATGTACTATGATTTTATCTTATTGTGCTTCGAATTCTTATATTTTCTATTCGTTTTTCCAATTTCTATTCGTTTTTCCAAAAAATAAAAGATTATTCAACATTCATTTAGTATTTTTCGTAATTTATAAACAAATCTACTATTTTTGCTTGAAAGGGTTTTGTTTAGGTAATAATAATTTTAAAATTAATTGTTTTTAAATTAAATTATTATTTTTATATCATTTTTGACATATGGCAATGACTCAATAAAATTTGTACAAGTGGCATATGATTTAGCAAAATATGCATACATGGCAGCTAACTCATCGTAGTTGACCAATATAATCTCGGTCAATGTTGATTTTAGCACAAATTAGATAGTTCATGATGTTTATTAAAAAAAATGAGTTATTTACGTACACACCTACTTTGGTTGAAATAAATAACGAGTAAACATACTTTTCGGGAGAGGTATACTTTTCCACAACTTTCTCTATGTCTTTGCAAAGGAGACATAATTCCTTGGACATTTTTGCCCTCAAACTTGACAAATGTTACACAAGCTGTTGGATTTCAACTAACAAAAGGCAATCGGGATCGTGCGGGTAAGACTATTTATGGAAGGTGACTTAGTTTTGGGAGAGAATTGTGCGGTTAATAAACGAGGAAGCGAGATTAGGGTTTGTTTCTCTGTTGGGAACATGGTTGCGCAGGTATGTGGGTTGTGGATAGGGTTTTCAGGCAACAATAGTGTGGATTGGTAGTATTTATTAACTATAGTTGTTTTTGTTTTGCAGGAAGGAGACCCAGGTTGTTGTGTTGTGATTTCGAGGCAATGGAACTTCAGGAAGGGAAACGTGTGTGAGTTCTCAGTGGACCAGAACGAGGGTTGTTCCATTGTCGCCTGAAACTAGGTTTTGGGAATTTGAAGATGCGGTTTGTGAAGAATTTGGATTAGAGAATAAAAGGGTTCTTCTTAGTTACTGTTTGTCGACAACTTTGCAGTTGGAATCTGTTTCCTGGCCACCACTGGTGATGGTGATTACCAATGTTGGTCTGGATTGTTTTGTTCGAATGATGCGGGCAAATAGAGGGCTGAATTTGTTTGTTACGTTTGAAGAGATGCGTAAAAGATCACCAGTAGAGGGTGAAGTGGGGAAAGTTACAGGGGATATAGGTAAGAAACAAAGTTGCGGCTACTCTAGTGGAGTAAGCAAAAGTGACGGTGGGGAAGAATTTTGTGGTGAGATCTCGACTGCAGGGTCTAAGACTATTGTTATTGAAGTGACACAAGAGGATGAGGCTTTTCTAACTGAAGTTGCAGAAGCAGAGGGAAAGGCATGTTCTGGTGGGAATAACTAAAGACAGGACCAGAGAACTAGTAATGAATATGCTGCTGGAGTGGAGGAGATTCCAACGATGGACAATAGTCAAACTGAAGCCCTTGATATATTCGACGATTTGGGCGACGATGATGTAGCAGAAGAAACGGATGTTTTCGTTACACCCAAATCGTATGACACTGAGTTCTGCGGCAATTTCATTGGTGATAACTATGGTCGGGTTAATGTTGTCGAGGTGATGTGTAGTCCAAATACACACTTTGACCACTCTGCCCCATTAAAAGTAGAGGATAAGCCCACCTTAGGTGGAGATGGCAGTGTTCCAGAGAATGGCAGACTGGGCTCAAGAGAGCAATTCAAGAGCGCGTCTGAGAACTTATCCATATGGACATCGGAGCGTGGATACGTTGGTCCTAGCACACCGAACGTGGTGGATAGGAAGCTATATTGACGACAAGGAGTTCGATATCCCTCCATTGTTTGATGATGCAGAATATGAGAGAGATGACATACCAAATTTGGATATTTATATTGACGGTAAAGGCATATACAAAGGAAAAATTTTTGCAAGCAAGGAGGAGTGCCAAATTGGAATAGCTTTATATGCTATACAGAACCAGTTCCATTTCACTCAAACTACACCGAAAAGAGAATCATTTGTACTACAATGTTCAAGGGAGCGTTGTGATTGGCGGATTCTGGCTTTTGAACTGAAAGGGTGTGGATACTATGAGATAAGGAAAGCTCATTTGGAACACACATGCGCCATTGAGACCAGGAACCAATACTTGAAGAAAGCCATGTCCAAGGTGATTGCGGCTGTGTACAAATCAAAGTACAATGACCCCAAAAAGGGCATGCACGTATGGATCTGCAACAGTTGGTCCTTGAAGATCTGAGGGTGTCTGCATCGTATAGCAAATGATGAGAGCTAAGGCAAAAGCTGAGGAGGATAATTTTTGGTCTAAGGATGTCTTATGATGACCTAGCTGAATACCTGTTTGTCTTAAAACAAGTTAATCCAGGCACAATAACTGATATAAAAACAAAGGAGGAGGAAGATGGCAGTGAAATGTTCATATATATGTACCTCGCATTTGGTGCATCAATTCAGGGTTTTAGGCACTTTCGCCGTGTGATTATGGTACTCACCTAACTGGGAAGGATAAAGGAGTTCTTTTAACAGCTAGTGGGCAAGACGCTAATTTCAAGTTTACCCCCTTGTTTTTGCAGTGGTGGACAGTGAGAACAACGAGGCGTGGACATGGTTCTTTGAGACGCTGGAGCAAATAATTGCAGACATCAAGACATTAACAATAATTTCAAATAGGAACACCTCAATTTACACCGCTAAGAAGACAATCTTCCCATTAGCTTATCATGGAGCTTGTACTGTTCACTTGGCTAGGAATGTTAATGCTAGGTTCCACAATAAAGGGCTGGCAAAACTTGTAGTGAAGGATGCATTTGCGAACAAGGTAACGCAATACCGCGAGATATATGGGCAAATGAAATCTAAAAACATCAACTGTGTAAGCTATCTAGATAAAATTGGTGCGGCTCATTAGACAAGGGCGTATTTCCAAGGAGAGATATACAATTTGATGACGTCCAACATTGCAGAGTCTTTGAACAAAGCTTTGGAGAAGGGCAGGGGTTCACCAATTGAATAGTTACTGAAATTCATAAGGGCGAAGCTAACCTGTTGGTTTAGTGCTATAAGGAAGAAAGCTGCTAGACACATTACTTTTACAACTCCTGAGGCTGACAAACAAATGACTAAGAATCTATTGGCTGTTAAAGGAAGCAGAATAGGTACTATTTGCAGCTGGAGTTATGAGGTTGTAGGAATTCTTAACGGGAAGCATCATGTTTTGCTAGACATGAAGCAGTGTTCGTGTAAACAGTATGATAGGATTCATGTCCAGATGCTTTTAAGCTTTTTGGATTCGGTACATGATTTGGTTGTGTCCTAGGAATTTTTTGGTAAACTGGGGGACACAATGGACATGAAAGTATCCAATGTTTCAAGGTTGGGTGGATACATATGCGGTAGGTTTGTAAGTGTAAGGTGGGTTTTAATTTTTTGGGTATCCACCAAAAACGGTTAATGGTTTCATCTTATTGAAATCTATAATATTAAGGGTTCATCGTAGTATTTTGTTGAAATCTTATTGAAATTAGTATCAGCTAAAACATTGGACTGGTGCATTAATTCAAGACATGTGTGAAAAGGTAGGGTGTCCACATGGACATGCACCGTGTGGATATTGTTCTAATTTTGGTCAGTTGGAAAAAACTTATTATAATAAAGAAACTTGATTATCGCCTTGCCACAAAACGAAAAGCATAGATAAGGTAACATTAGTTATCCACATCTCGTGAGCTAAGAACAAAATAACATCCAAACTTAAGAGATTAACATGATGTCCCTTTAAAGATAATAATAAAGGCAGTCCATGCACCTCTACCCGTTGTTTTCCTCCAACATTGCATGTTCCTCCCAACATGAGGGAAAATCATCGATATGCCACGTGTCTGAATATGTACCCCAGCGACGCGGTTCAACCATGTAGATCTAATACATCAACATGTCTGCCAAACGCGAACATACTTCGAATAGATACTTGTTCTTTAGGTTCAAATAATCATCAGTTACGAGTGTGCCCGCGCAGCTCAAGAGCATGTGATACGCCAGTTCTACAACAGGATAAACGTCTTTGACCTGCTCGATCGTGATGAGGGCCTCGTTAAGGTGACAAGTCCTGAAGGCAAGTTGCAAAATCTTCACATACAATGCATACGGATTCCGAGCATGTAGACACCATCCGAAAAGTTGTAAAACGCACTAGTTGGTTGGGACCACCTTACGAAATCTGGATTTTTGTCTAATCTGACGGTGAACAAAGTCTCCGGCGAAAGGACATTAATTCTACTTTCCTTCCCTATACAGAGCCAATTTTTAAGTTCGCCTATGCCCTCCTCCTCAACATAGCTTACGACCTTAGCCAATATCGACTGGGAATGTGGAGACCATGCACCGGAGACTCCTGTATCACGGTTAAAAATTATTGAAAACAAAACAATGGTGCATAATATAAAGAAATAGCAGGAAAGGAAAATACCGTTATTGTGACTCCTCTTTTAGCAGACGATACAACTCCATCCGAGTGCCCTGCCCCCGTATTGCAACGCCATCTTGTCAATGCACTCCTCTGTTGGTAGTAATGTGCGGATATGTCCATTCCGTCATGATAAACAGTTTTTTTAGAGTCTTTCACCCTTTCTTTTCTGTCCATTTTGAGTCGTTTGTCGTGTTTTACTCCGTCTTTCGTGTCTTTCGAGTCGTGTTTTGAGTCTTGAGCAGGAGCTAAGCAGTTGGAGCGGAATTGGCGCGTTTTGGACCAGTTTCGGGCAAGGAAGTGCAACTTTAGCTGATGCAGAGCATGGACCGATCGGTCCATCACTAGACCGATCGATCCAAACGAACGACACATTCTAGGAGCGCAACGAATGATCGATCCAAACGAACGACACATTCCAGGAGCGCAACGATCGATCGATCCCAACATTGGATCGATCGATCCACTCGTCCGG